TTGTTGTACCCAAAGTTTGGAAATCTATATGATAAATTACATAGATAATACGAACTAGAATTATAAGAAATAACTTTTAACTATATGAGTTTTTGTTGCAAAACGTCATATTTTAGTTGTCTTGTCAAAAAAAGGGTCTGTAAGAGACATTTAAAGACGAGTCTCGATTGTCAAGACGATGAATAATTGAAAAAATATATTGAGAACTCTCATTAAAGATAGAAAAGTATCAATGCAATCCAAATTTACATATTTATGGATAATATATGATGCAAAGTGTTTTGAGTATTAATTCATTATGGAATTGTTTTATGATGGCAATGGTTATATGTTAAAATTTAGTTAGATTAGATTGATTGGAGTATTTTTTATTTATTAAATGGTTTTTTGAAGTTAAACTTTGAATTTATAAAAATATATTAATTATTTTAATATAATGTTTCCGCAAAAGTTTCAAGCCATTCATTTCCCATTCAATACAACTTAGCGTAGATATTATATTATGTACATATTATGCGTGTCGACATAGATTAAGCTTTAGACATGTCATAGTTGGGTTACGCACATACGTAGTCATACTCTAAGCCTAGTAGAGGACACGATGACGAGCCTCATAATTATAATAAACGAGGTATGATAATGAGAGTATCATGAAACTTTGTAATGGTGAATTTTGTACTTCGAACAAAGAGTATATCAACTTAAAAGTTTCAAAATGCCATCCGAAACACAAACTTATAGCTCTCATTATATGTTCCAAAATTTGTAACGTTGAAGTACGTGCTTTCTAACGAAAAGTGCTCGTTAATTATGTTTGGCTATTAGAATATCTATGCTATATCGAAAACATGTAAAGTGAAATTCTATATATACAACGAAAATAGGCATATATAAAATGAACTCTTAAAATTATTTTTAATTTCTATATTTTTAGATAAGCTCTAGAGATGACTTGAGGAAAACGTTCTTTAATGGTAACTTAAGTCCATTCTCCATTAAAGTTTTTGGTAGTACTCTAAACTTTTTCTGAAGTGTCATATTCGTCCTACACTTAATTAAAGGGCTCTTCCTCGTGAAATTTAGGCTGGGGAGCAAATTTTTTTATTTTTTATTTTTTGGGAGAAAAGAAATGCATATGTATTGTGCATATATTTAAAAACAAAATTAGGAAAATTCAAAATGATTTGAGAGTGGTCGCAGCCCCCTCCTTCCATCCGCCTCTGGTCACAATTCGCTTAAAAGTCAAAAGATAATACATTTTAAAATTACTTTTTTAAAAAAAAAAAATTAATACTTACTTTCTAGAGAAGTAATTTTATGAGGCTACCGTGTTGTCGTGTTGTCTAGCCAATAACTCACCAACCCTCTATACCGATCCGATTTACTTGTCTTTCATCACAAGTAAAAGACAGTGACAAGTGAGTTAACAAGACATATCCTCAATTTGTAGGACTCAATTATCAATATCTATTACATTTCCAGTACATTGTAGGGTCCTAATTTAATTAATGTGTAGGACTAGCAGAGGAACCCAGGCTGTTACTCCATGATTATGGTTGTGAAAGCCCAAGATTTGAAAAGTTGTCAATTTGAGAGCATATCGTTTATTTTTTTAAATTGTCAATTCTTTTTCTTATGGTGGGACATGTTGAACCTTCTAGTCTACAAATTTAAGCCGTTAGAGATAATATAATTTAACTTATTCGAGTTAAGTCTTTAACGAAATGCACTCGCAATGTGACACAACGCTTCTTCCATGCATTAAAAAAAAGAAAAAAAAATTGGGTTTGAGTTTTTCGAAAGTTATATGCATTCGAATTTATAAAACTCGAAAGTCGAAACTATTATTTAGCATAATATGAACCAATATGATTATGAGCAAATCCTTTGAAGGAAAATATCATACATATTTGGTTTCTTATTTCTGTAAATTAATAATAGAAAATACCAAGAAATAAAAGTGATGGTAAAGCCATAGGTACCTTTCGTTTGACAACCAATTTGAAATATTTATATAGTAAAAATGACATCAATTTGGTATTTCCAACTGGACTACTTAATATTTTAGAAAGGGATTGTACATCTTACCTTAAAATAGTCTTGGTGATTTGAATCTGGTTTATTGAAGATATAGGGTTCCTAAATAGCTACAAATTAATGAGAGGGGCTCAACCTTTCTACCCAACCTATCATTACCCTATGTCATATGGCATCCAAACCCAAGACGAAACATCGATGACGTATTTGCTGAGATATTAAAACTGCGTACAGAACATGTCCTGAAAGATAAATGCTAGACAGATCCCAACCTAAGAAATTTGTGATGAGACGACCATTCTCCTCTCAAGCTCTGGCAAACTGCATAAAAATTTCATGCTAGTTCTAATATGTATTTAGGCTCCGTTTGATAGCACACATTTTCCATGGAAAATAGAAAAAAATTTCCATTTTTCAACTTTTGTATTGTTTTATAGGCAAAAAAATTTTTGGAAAATATTTTTCAACTTTCCAAATTTTCCACATTTTTGAGAAAAATAAATTCTTGATGTTTTGGTTGGTAAATATTTTCCAGGTTTTTTTTTTTTTG